CATAGTCACCTATCAGAGCTACAGCTGATTTGATGTTTATAACAGGAAAGAAAAACATGAAAATCCATCTATTATGTTTTTCATTACACTGCAAAGTATTTAGTTATATTACCTAACAGGCTGAACTGTTTGTAAACATTAACAAATAAATCCCAATACACCATAAATCAAAGCTTAATCAATAAACAAATGTATAATGAACATACATTTAGCTTTTAGGAAGGAAATAAAAATAAAGTATATTTCATAAGTTTGCTCACAATAATACTGATTGAGAATGTTTAGCCTATGTTTAAATATTACCTGAAATGCTATACATATTCACTTTATTCCTCAAGTTTGGGACCACTAAACTAAAATACAGATGTATGCATATCATATAACACACTTAACCAGCTCCATGGGGGAAAAAAAAGTAGAAAAAATAAACCTTGTCTCTTCTATATACTTTTTCTGTTGTAAAGAATTCATATGTCCCCAAGGACAGCTAGAACATACAGATGTATGCATATCATATAACACACTTAACCAGCTCCATGGGGGAAAAAAAAGTAGAAAAAATAAACCCTGTCTCTTCTATATACTTTTTCTGTTGTAAAGAATTCATATGTCCCCAAGGACAGCTAGAACTAAAACCCTAGTTTCCTGATTCCAAATCTATTTTTTCTAAATCTTGGAAATATAACAGCAGCTGGAAACAAAATTAAATCATAACACTAAAAATCCAAAGTTTCCTACATGTTTCAGTCTCCTAAATAAATATAAATATGCCTATTTATAAATGTCACAACATCATGGACACATCTTTTACCATTTTACATGTTTAGGTTGAAAATTCACTATACAGAGATTTATGTACTACCAAGAAAAACTAAACTCACAAATAAGATACATTTTTACCATGAACTCTTCCTTACTTTGAGTCATAATTGCCCTCCACTTAAATTTCACCCTTTAGTCTGCCAAGTCATGGGTTCTCACCCTTCTCATTTGAACAAATGACCAGGCTTTGGGCATAAGCACGAGATCTGAGAAGGAGATTCAAACCATAACATCCCAGAAGGTTGGAATTAAAAGGATCTATAAGTATCTATTAACTTAGGGTTCTCAGCAGGGTCAATTTTGCCCCCCGCTTCCCCTAGAAACAATTGGCAATGTCTAGAGACATTTTTTTGTTGTCACAGCTGAGGGGAAAGGGGTGCTGTTACTGTCACCTAATGGGTGGAGGGCAGAGGTGCTAATAAACATCCCGCTTCCCCTAGAAACAATTGGCAATGTCTAGAGACATTTTTTTGTTGTCACAGCTGGGGGGAAAGGGGTGCTGTTACTGTCACCTAATGGGTGGAGGGCAGAGGTGCTAATAAACATCCTGCAGTGCACAGGACAGCCCCCACAACAGAGAATTATCAGGTCCAAAATGTCAATAGTGTAGAGTCTGAAAAATGCTGTAGTAAATAGATTCTAGTCCAACAGATAAAGAAACTGAGGCCTAAAGAAATTAAAGAACCTGCCTGAGATCAGGGGAAGGTTAATGACAGAATCAAAACTAGAGTTTTGATGTTCTGACTCCTAAACCATACTATTTCCTGTAAAGTTAGAAGACGAAGATGGGAAAAAGACTTCCAGCTTGTAGCCTTCATGGAAAGCCAGTCCACCTGGTATTTATATAGTCCCTATCTGTAAAACTAAGCCATCTCTATAAAATACTCTTTCCTGGAAAACGCTTGTTTCCAAAACTCAATTCCATTTAACACACTTTCTGGTTGCCTACTGCTGAAAAACAATTAGGAGGAAGAACCAACAAACCAATGGAACACCTTTGAAGAAATAAAACCCTGAGAAGACACCAAGGATAATGTGATAGGGTCACCTTAAAAACTCCACACAGAGGAAAAAACTCTCTGGTTTTTGGATACAATGCCTGCTCTTGAGCATTAGGCAGCTTTCATCTTTTATTCCTGTACAGTGAAAGCTAAATAGCTTTCTATCAGGATAAAACATTTCTTTCTGGAATAGAAAACAACTTCAGTCACAAACATTTATATTGGAAACTGTATAGTGAAGATTTTGGCTTTACCTAAAGAGAGGTCTGGGCTTTGCCTTGGCTTCTTGGAGGTGATCTATGTCATTCCTGATAGACGCATCTTTGTTTGGGGTGAGACTGGCCACACCCAATAGTCTTAGGATTGGGGTGGCCATGCCAGAAAGACCAACCATGTGATTTAGGACAGGGGCTTCGGGTTATGCAGTATCAGTCAACCTGTAGGCTGAGTTCAACCACGAGGACAATCATGCCTATGTAATAAAGCCCTAATATAAACTCTGAACACCAAGGCGTGGATGAGCTTTCCTGGTTGGCAATACTCCATGTGCACTGTCACGCATCAGTGCCAGGAGGGTAACGCATCCTGAGAAAAATGGAAGCTTCCCATTTGGAATCCCCAGACTCTGCCCTATGAATCCTTTTCTTTGGCTTATTTTTATGTGTATCCTTTCCCTGTATAAACCATAACCATGAGTATAATGGCCTTCAGTGAATTCTGGGAGTCCTTTTAAAGAATTATAAACCATTAGGGTGGTTTTGGGAATCCCCTGAACTTGCAGTTGGTATCAGAAGTGAGGGTGGTCTTAGGGACTGTGCCCTCAAACTTTAGTTTGGCTAATCCTGGGCAGAAACACAGGTTTATTTTCCAGTGCAATTCTGGATATTTCCAAATTCTTACCTTGTGTAGTCACATCCCCTTCAGTGTGGATGTGACCTGTGACTTGCTTCTGACCAACAGAATATGGCAACATTGATGGCATATGTGTATGTGTACGTGATTGCTACAAAAGTGTGTAATGCCCATTTTACTAGAAGACTATCTCCCTCTCTGGCTGTGAATAAGCAAGCTGCCACGTTGTGAGCTGCCCTAGAGCAAGTCACACTGCAAGGAACTGAGGGAGGCCTTCAGCCAACAGCCAGCAAGAAACTGAGGCCCTTAGTACCACATTCTGCAAGGGACCAAATACTGCCGACAACCACATGTGTTCAGAAGAAGATCCTTCCCCACTCAATCCTCGAAATGAGGCTGTAGTCCCAGCAGCACTCTGAATGCAGCTTTCAGATGAGATTCTGAAGCAGACGATCAAGCAAAGCCATGCTGGCCTCCTGACCCACAGAAACTGTGAGATAATCAATGTGTGTTATTTTAAGCCACTAATTTCTTACACAGTAATAGATAACCACCCAATACAACAGGCAAACAGTGGTATTCTTCAAAAAATGCAACATTAGAGGGATATTTCTACAATGCAAATAGGATCATGTCACTCACTGGCTTAGAAACCTCTCAATGGTCTCTCACCAACCACAGACTAAAAAGCCCAAACACCTTAGCAGAGTATAAAAAACTCTCTTTAATCTGAACTCTCTTCCTCTGTCTAGTCATCTCTTAATATGGTCCATGTCCCTCACCTCGTCTCTCGTTCTCCCTGCAAGCACCAGCCATATGCAGCTAATTATAAATCTTCTAAATGGTCTACCATACGCCTCCTGCCCGTGTTTTCCTCTTCTTGCCTACAGCATCCTCCCTACCTGTTCCCTCCTCTCTTAGACTCTCTACATCAGCTTGGGTGCAGCCTACTTGGCCTCAATCAGTCAAGGTTTGTGGCCTCTCCCCAGTTAGCACCGTAGCCTACACACATTTCTGCATAGCAAGCCCCACTGTGCATTCTAGTTGTTTGTTTGCTGCCTTTCCTGCTGACTTAGAGACTATAAAAGTTCCTTGAGGGGAGAAACTGAGTTTTGCTCATCTGAATTTACTTTGTCTGTAGTTCTGACACAGAACTGGTGCTCAATAAACTTGTTTTGTTTTGTTTTGGCAGCTGGCCCATATGGGGAACCTAACCCTTGACATTGGTGTTATAAGGCCATGCTCTAACCAAATTAGCTAACTGGCCAGCCCTAATAAACTTCTATTAAATAAATGAATGTTAACAAAACTGTATTCACTGGTCATAAATTTTTTTAAAAATATGTTATAATCCACAAAATAATTTTCTGTAGTACAAAGTATCAAACTGTATCATTAATGAAACCATAAATCTCTAAGATGATCTAAATTTGGAAAAATAATATCTATCCAGCTTACTTCCCAACATCCTATTAACCTGACATACAATAAAAACAAATCAATATCTGCTGTTTCATTACTATATATTTCAAAGACTTTAAAAACCTGAGTATTCAAGTCTTGGTTTTCCTAAACTTTGATTTGAAAGTCTCTAAAACAAATTTTGACTAGAAAAGAGAACAAGTTGGTATTCTTTCATTTTCAATTTTAGTAAAATATTTATCCATATTTGTTAAATTTTTAGCTTAGAGGAGAAAGAAATGTTACTTTGATTGCTAAAAGCACCAAAGAGTAATAAAAATAAAAGTGAATCTTTTATTTTAAGTGAATCTTTAAAGAAGCTCATATGGTATCTACAACATCACTTTAACTTCTTAAAATCAAATTTAATATTAAAATAATTATAGTTTCTTTCATTCAAACAAAAATATCTTTTACTATCAACCCCAAAATTATAAATCAAATTAATTTTTAAAGAGCTAATCCTCATACTTCGGTTTTTGTTACACATAACTAAAAAAAATGGGAGGAAAGACCCCAAATGCCAAAACTATAATTTGTGGTAATATTTATATTGAAAACTTCTTGGCTATATATTAATTACAGTATTAGGACAATATTTTTAGTCCTCATAAAATTAAGAGCAGAGACTATGCTTTGGTTTGATGTTTGGTTTGGTCATTCAAAAAGCAGATGTTTTATCTCCTGGGAAAGCACCAAAAGGAAAAGCATGATTTTATAACTATGTCATTTTCATAAACTAATATTCACTAAAACACAAATGTTTAGTACACATGCTAAAAATGACACGAGTCAATTAGCTGAAGCAGACTGAGTGCAGCAGTTACAAGTATCTTAAGCACAGTTCTCTAGTACAACACACTACATTTCACCCTAGAGAAAGAATGTTGGCAAAGATCACTACCACATGGAAACTGCTCTTAAAGCTGTTGGGCCCTGAAATTTTATTCAGCAGTTTGAAATCAAGCCACAGCTTTCCTCCTTCACCCTCCCACTTTGGGCTAATGTACAGGCATGATCATCTATTGAGGAAAACCACAAAAAACTTCAAAACAGCTACAACGGTAGGCTTATTTTAAACATATTATTTTAAATAGTTTGTTAAAGTGTGACTCATCTAACAGTCTTAATAAATGTAAAGGCCATCTCTAATTTGTTTAAGTTTCTTACCTTGAACGGTTAATTCTTAACAAGTACTTTTGTGTATCATTGCATAACACTAATATCCATGCAGGCAAGAACAGGGTGCTGCAAAAGTCATAAACCCATTTTATTTTTAATTTTCAACCACTGGATTTTTGACAAATTGGCATCTATAATGCAGCATCAGCAACTCTGAGTGATTCTGCTTGAACTTACTCATGAAAAAGTCTGAAATGGGCACCCACCAGATAAAAATCGACTGATGAGTCTAAAAGAATCTTTTCCATTACATTTCCCAAAGTTCCTTGATTAATGTTCTATATTTCCTCTAGTCTGCAGTACTACTTTTGCAGTCTTCTTGGTTTAAATTTAAAAAGTAATACTACTAACTAAAAATAATGATAACCTATTAAAATTACAAGACTAAGAAAATTAAGGACATTTATGGCTTTTACTAAAAAGTAAGTGTTAATGCTACTTTTCATAATGTTAAACAATTTAAAGTTTAAAGTTTAAAACTTTTCTTGGAACTTCTTTCTGCTCATAGCAATACAAATCAAGAATTCTTACAAAGCAGCAAAATTGAAATATGATATTTTTAACTCACATGAGACAGAATCCTGGGTCTTCATTTTAACTATTTATACTGCAGGTATCCTAAGAAGATTTCAACAGCATACGAGTACCTCTATTCAAGGCACTTAATTATTAAAAAACTTAAATTATTAACATTTGTTGAATTTTTGATACAGAATAAAAAAACTATTTTCTGAAACTATTTTTCAGAATGTTCACTGATACATAAAAACTGTTAGCATCTAATTAAAGATCACTAAGGGTTAAATACTTGTTCTCTGGCCCCTACTGCGTACACCCTGCCAAACATCCTCTAAGCTTTTAAATATTGCTTCGATGGTCTGCATTTTTATTTCCAGGGAAAAAGAGTTTTGTCCCACAGTCAGCAGGCCACTAGTTTATTAACTTCCAGTCACCTTGATTTTTGCTAAAATGAAGACTCTGCAGTCTACACTTCTTTTGTTACTGTTTGTGCCTCTGATAAAGCCAGCACCACCAACTCAGCAGGAATCACGCATTATCTATGATTATGGAACAGATAATTTTGAAGAAACCATATTTAGCCAAGATTATGAGGATAAATACCTGGATGGAAAAAATATTAAGGTACTTTATTTCTACTCTAAATTTAACTTCTAAAATAGTGCCCATTTAAATGCATGCTTTTATTTTTCTTGAATGTGTTTGATAAGGTAAGGGGAAAGGAAAAGCACTTTAAATGATTCAACTTAATTCATAATAATTGTCCCTAAGATTATATTTTTAAAGTATGCATGCCTCCCAAATTAATAAACAGTATCTATGGTAACAAAACAGTATCTATAGTAACCAAAAAATAAAACTTAAGAAAAACTAGACTTTAATATGATCCCTGACCAGTTGTGATTTACATTTTATGTTACACAGTGCCCTATATTTGCATATTACTTCATAGTGCCTCAAAAATAAATTAGGAAAAATGTGTATTAGGAGAATTAATGATGAATTACCAGCTTAAGTTTTATTATTTTAGAAAAAAAATGGTTCAAGGAAATGAACAGAAGATTACTGGTTATTTTGGGACTTACAGCATTTCACAATTTACATATGCCAACTACACACAGTACCAAAAAATGAAAAACTAGTTAATATGGGGCTTTCTATTTTAATCAGTTTTAACAGTTTAGCCCTCTATCAACTGGTACCAAGTAACTATAACCATCATTGAGTTATTCTGCAGAGATGACTTTTTATACCACATCATTCATACTCCATCTTTATGAGCAAAGTAATTACTTGTGGTTTACTTGGCACACAGAAGTGAACACTGGGCAAGGAAAAAGTTAGCACAGAAGTATCTGTTGCCCATTACGTGTGTCTCTCTCTCACACACACACACACACACACACACACACACACACACACACACACACTCTCCCCCCCACACACACACACAGTGGAAAATGAGAAATACAGCCAAATATATAATACTGATTGCTTGAAAGTTCTTCTCCACTATAGATGGTAAAGATTTAAAGACTGACCAGTCATAATTGCTTCCTTTTTTTCTTTTTCTTTTTTCAGCACACAATGAGCAAATGCTACCACAGTTTCTTTTAAAGGAGTTAGTTAATATGCTAGTGTTATTTTTGTCCCTCATTGAAACAAAAAAGATAGATATCAGTAGCCATAGCTTCAAGCTTAAAAGAAAAAAAAAAAGCAGCAGTGCATCATAACATAAGCTATTGGCTCACTTGGATGATTTGAATCTAACAATTATAAGAAGAACACTTTCAAAATTCCCTAGCCCCTAAAAAAGTAAAAAGTTTAGAGATGAGTTTCTCTCAAGTTTCTCTATCTTAATATAAATACAGGGACTAAGATATTTGTGATATGGCATAGAATTTCATTAGGACTTGATGTACAAACGCAGTGGAAAGAGCACATTCAACCAGCACACAGATGAGAGAATGAAAGTAAAGGGCAGGGTCAGGAGTCAAGACTGAGACTAGGGTGTGATATGGTTATAAAAGGTAGAGAGAATAGGACACCACTTAATAGACTATAATCTAATGGCAGAAAACACACTCTCCAAGAATAGGAGACAGAGTAAACAATAAAGATCCCAATTATTCCAGAGTTATAGCCTAGACTGGTGGTCCAAGTGGTGTGAGAAGGCTGGAATAGGAGGGCTGTAAGGGACAGCGCTTAATGGAGGCATGTAGGTAATTAAGAGGTCGCCCCTGGAGACTGAAAGAGCTTACTCAGTACTTTGCATATATAACATGCTAGAGCTCTAGTCCTGCTCAAAATGGTAGAATTTGATGTGAGGAACTCAGTTCAGACAAGAACTATAAAGAATAGTTTCACCTCAAAAACTTTCATTCCTATTCAGATAATTCTCTGTTCTCATTTGGAATTTCAATACACTCAACATGTACTAATAAGCACTGAATATAGCAACAGGAGATACAAAAATAAAAAAGATCTGGTTCTCTAACTGAAGGAGCTCATAATCTAGAATTAAAACAAATTAAACAAATATTTACATTATAATTTAATGAATGATGAAATGGATTTATTATAAAATCATAATGGAGCCCAAAAGAAATGCCATTAATTGTGACTACAAAAAAGATAAATGTCTGTGATCACTTGGTGTTACAGTCAAACTTAGACTTTACCACATATGATAACAAACTTTTATTTTTCCAATAGGAGAAAGAAGCTATGATAATACCTGATGAGAAAAGTCTTCAATTACAGAAAGATGACAGTATAACACCATCATACCCAAAGAAAGAAAATGATGGTAACTATGAATATTCTATCATCTAATTCTTTTTTTCAAAAATAGTCTTTTAAAAATAGGCATAATGAAACTTTATTCCTTATAGTTATCAAAAATTGCCTCAATATGTAATAAATTCAGTGGAATTTTATCTCCAATGATAAAGTCACATACATTGGGAGTGCACATAATTTCCCATCCCAAGTTAGGAGGGAGAAATGTGGAACAGGAACATTCAAGAACAACCAAAGCTTAGCCCAAACTCAGCATCTACAAAGTGTGTTTCTGTTCATAAAAAATCAATTTGGGAAATGATTAAATATCAATTATTTGCCAAATACAATGTACGGCCTCAGAATATGATAAATAAAATATAGTTCTTATCTTCAAGAAACTCACAGAAGAGAAAAGGCTATATTCAGAATAACTACAGTGTACATTTCAATTAGAACAATAGAAAACATAGTAAACAGCAAAGTATGAGTCCTACTTCACAGTTCCTATGTATGGTTTATTCCTGCTCTATTTCAGCACATTATTTCACATAACATGAAAAAAATCACACTAATTTCTACATTGCTACAATAAAATCAAAATAAACCAAAATAGAAAATACATCTTTAAAAATCTGAGAAGTATTATACTAAAAATAAACTTTAACAAACAAAAAGACATTCCTTGTTCTTGGATAGATGACTCAATATCATAAAGATGTCAGTCCTCTCTAAATTTATAAATTTTAGGCAATCCCACTAAAATTACGAATAAATTTCTTTATAAAGCTAGAAAAATTGATTCTGAAATTCCTATGGAAAAACATGTACAAACAGGGAAACATGGAACAATGACAGGTATATGCAGGAACTAGACCTCCTATACATTAAACATATTGTAAAACCTCTCTATACTTAAAAAAAAAAAGCATGACACTGGTACATGAATAGAGAAAAAGACCAGTGGAATAGAACAGTCTATTTGGTATAAATAAAGGGACCAACTCAAATCACTGAAGCGAAAATGGTGTTTTTAAAAAGTGGTGCTGAGTAAGCTTTTCTGAAAAGGGTTACAATTAGATCCATACTTCACACAGAGAAATAAACTCCAAATAGATTAGGCATCTAAATGTATAAAATGAAACCATATAAGTACTAGAAGATAACCTGCATGTAGGGTGCCTCAAAATCCAGAGACAATAATAATAGAAAAGATCAATAAATTTGACTCATGAAAGTAAACTTTTACATGGCATAAAACCTCAAAAACAAAAATCAAAGAAAACTAGAAACTGGGACAGATATTTGCAACATGTATTACAGATAAAGAGCTAATATCTCTAACATATAAAGAACTCTTTAAAATCAAGGAAAAGAAATTGACAAAAAATCCATTGGAAAAATGGGCAAAAGATAGGAAGAGACAATTTACAAAATTATTTTTAAATGACCCTTAAATATATGAAAAGACAATCTCACACATACAGAAATGCAAAATTGAGATACAATTTTAACCTCATCTGACTGACAAAAATGAAAGTATAAAAATATATTGATATGTTACATTGGCAGGCCTGTGATGTAACAGACCCTCTCATATGTTGCCAGAAGGAATGCAAATTAGCACAACATTTTTGGACAGGAATTTGACAATATCTGAAACCAAATGTGTATTTACTTTTCAATATAGAAATCAACTTCTAGATATTTACCCTGAAGGTACACCTCAAAAATAAAAAAATAAAAATGCAAAATCATGGAAGCATTGTTTGCAATTGCAAAATATTGGAACTAATCTAAATGTCCAAACACTGAAGTGTGACTGAATAAACCAATGACACATCCACACAAGGGAACACTATACAGTTGTAAAAATGAATGAGGGAGATCTTTAACAACTAAAATGAAATCATTTCCAGAAAACGCTATGTGAAAAAAGCAAAATGCTAAAGAGAATCTATAACATGCTGCCTTTCTTGTAAGAAAGGGATATTAAACACACACACACACACACACACACACACACACACACACACACACACACACACACACACACACACGTATCTACTCATTTGTGTAAAAAGAAACACAAGAAAGGTAATTGAAAAACTTAAGACTAGTTACCTATAGGGAAAATAAGTGGGATCATGGGAACACACACACACACACACACACACACACACACGTATCTACTCATTTGTGTAAAAAGAAACAGAAGAAAGGTAATTGAAAAACTTAAGACTAGTTACCTATAGGGAAAATAAGTGGGATCATGGGTGGAAAGGATGGGGAGATAGGAATGGGCTAAACAGGAATTGGGAGGGGGAGTGACACTTCCCTGACTATACACTTTTTGTGTAGATTTACTTCTTAGAACAATGCTATATTTCATATAGGCAAACAAACATATATGAAGAGTCTTTGGAAAGTTCATGGAAAGATTCTATGATCTTTTAATTCTATTTTTCTGCCAATTTTTTGAAATACTCTCGTATATAAATAAAATCAACAAGGATAAAGTAAAAAGAACCCAAACTGAAATACAAACAGAAAAACATAAACTTAATCATACTTCAAATTAATAACATAACACTCTAAAGGATGGAAAAAAATTTAATCCCAGTAACACTTAAACACAGTATTTTGACTATATACCTTCAGACTAAAGACAAAAAAGCCTATAAACGCATACTAAATTCCAGTAAGTAGGTTCATTTTTTGAAGTGTTATGAGTTAGCAATATTGAAACTACTTAATGTGTATTCTAGGTCTGAGTAAAGTGAATATACTATGGATAATGTGAGCCAGGTTTCTGACTATCAGAGAAGAGCATTTCAAATATAGAAAGGTGGAAGGCTAGAAAAGGATACTGTGGAGTTGGACTATAATGTAAGATATTAGTATGAACTCATGGTTTATGTATATAAACAAAGATACAGAAATATAGACGTGTTTGTCTTTCTGTGTGAGTGTGTATGTATGCATATGGTGTATTTATGTACATATGTGAGCATATGTAGTATATGTTTATATACATATACATGTTGTATACATGTGTATTACATATGGAGAAAGAAACAAATACTCACACTTATATTTCCTAGCTCTTTCAGCTGAAAGAGCCTATAAGCAATGAGATTCCAAGCAATGAGCACACTCAGCATCTAGATCTTCATACCTAACACTATTTTCCACTAAAAGGAACCAGTGCTTCTTGAGGAGATAGCGGATTTCAGGACTGGGGCAGGGAAAATGCAAGACTGGTCTGGGACACCTTGCTTTGCCAGAAAATAAGGAAGTTCTCTGACAATAACGGGGATATTTAACTTTTTAAAAAAATATCAAAATATATGAAATATATAGATATAGATACATAAAAGATATATAAGACCTGTATACTGAAATCAAGACAACATTGCTGAGAGAAATTAAAGAAGACCTAAATATATGGAGAAATGTATTGTGTTCAAGGTCTGGAAGACTCACTACCATTAAGATGTCAATTTTCCCCAAATATATGTATAGAGTCAACACAGTATCAATCAAAATCTTAACAAGATTTTTTTTTTTTAATTAACAAGCTGATTCTAAAATTTATATGGAAATGTAGAGGACCTAGAATAGTCAAAACAATGTTGAAGAACAAACTTGAAGGATTTATACTACCTAATATCAAGACTTGTTNAAGAAAGGTAATTGAAAAACTTAAGACTAGTTACCTATAGGGAAAATAAGTGGGATCATGGGTGGAAAGGATGGGGAGATAGGAATGGGCTAAACAGGAATTGGGAGGGGGAGTGACACTTCCCTGACTATACACTTTTTGTGTAGATTTACTTCTTAGAACAATGCTATATTTCATATAGGCAAACAAACATATATGAAGAGTCTTTGGAAAGTTCATGGAAAGATTCTATGATCTTTTAATTCTATTTTTCTGCCAATTTTTTGAAATACTCTCGTATATAAATAAAATCAACAAGGATAAAGTAAAAAGAACCCAAACTGAAATACAAACAGAAAAACATAAACTTAATCATACTTCAAATTAATAACATAACACTCTAAAGGATGGAAAAAAATTTAATCCCAGTAACACTTAAACACAGTATTTTGACTATATACCTTCAGACTAAAGACAAAAAAGCCTATAAACGCATACTAAATTCCAGTAAGTAGGTTCATTTTTTGAAGTGTTATGAGTTAGCAATATTGAAACTACTTAATGTGTATTCTAGGTCTGAGTAAAGTGAATATACTATGGATAATGTGAGCCAGGTTTCTGACTATCAGAGAAGAGCATTTCAAATATAGAAAGGTGGAAGGCTAGAAAAGGATACTGTGGAGTTGGACTATAATGTAAGATATTAGTATGAACTCATGGTTTATGTATATAAACAAAGATACAGAAATATAGACGTGTTTGTCTTTCTGTGTGAGTGTGTATGTATGCATATGGTGTATTTATGTACATATGTGAGCATATGTAGTATATGTTTATATACATATACATGTTGTATACATGTGTATTACATATGGAGAAAGAAACAAATACTCACACTTATATTTCCTAGCTCTTTCAGCTGAAAGAGCCTATAAGCAATGAGATTCCAAGCAATGAGCACACTCAGCATCTAGATCTTCATACCTAACACTATTTTCCACTAAAAGGAACCAGTGCTTCTTGAGGAGATAGCGGATTTCAGGACTGGGGCAGGGAAAATGCAAGACTGGTCTGGGACACCTTGCTTTGCCAGAAAATAAGGAAGTTCTCTGACAATAACGGGGATATTTAACTTTTTAAAAAAATATCAAAATATATGAAATATATAGATATAGATACATAAAAGATATATAAGACCTGTATACTGAAATCAAGACAACATTGCTGAGAGAAATTAAAGAAGACCTAAATATATGGAGAAATGTATTGTGTTCAAGGTCTGGAAGACTCACTACCATTAAGATGTCAATTTTCCCCAAATATATGTATAGATTCAACACAGTATCAATCAAAATCTTAACAAGATTTTTTTTTTTTTTAATTAACAAGCTGATTCTAAAATTTATATGGAAATGTAGAGGACCTAGAATTGTCAAAACAATGTTGAAGAACAAACTTGAAGGATTTATACTACCTAATATCAAGACTTGTTAGTCAACACAGTATCAATCAAAATCTTAACAAGATTTTTTTTTTTTAATTAACAAGCTGATTCTAAAATTTATATGGAAATGTAGAGGACCTAGAATAGTCAAAACAATGTTGAAGAACAAACTTGAAGGATTTATACTACCTAATATCAAGACTTGTTATAAAGGTACAGGAATCAAGACATTGTGGTACTGGCATTTAAAAAAAAAATAGATCAACAGAATAGAACAGAGTCCAGAAATCGGCTTACACAATATGGTCAACTAGTTTTTGACAATGTGCCAACACAATTTAATGGGGAAAGAATAATCTTTTCCAAAAAAGTTACTGAGAGAACAAGGTAGCCATAGGAAAAAAAATTTTTAAGAAAGAATCGTGACCTTTCCAATCACCATACATAGAAATTAAATTGAAATGGACCCCACAACTAAACATAAAGAGCTTAACCTATACAACTTCTAGAAGAAAAAAGATAAAATCTTAGTCGTTGGTAAACATTTCTTAATTACAACACAAAAAGCATAAACTATAAAACAATCAATTGTTCTTCATTAAAATTTAAAATGTTTGCTCTTCAAAACATTTCAAATGATAAGAAAATAAAAAGACAAATCACAGACTGGGGTAAAACATTTACAAAATGTAAATCTGACAAATGACTTCTATCTAGAATACAAGGGTACTTCAAAAAGTTCATGGAACAATTCATATTAACTTTTAATTCTATTTTTCCACGAACTTTTTGAAGTACCCTCATATATACTCTTATAATCTAGTAATAATAATAATACAGAAACCCAAGTAAAAATAGGCAAAAAATATGAACAGACACTTTACCAAAGAAAATATATGAATGGCAAATAAACACATAAAAATGTTCAACATCATTAGCACTAGGGCAATACAAATTAAAATGCAATGAAATACTACAACAAGTAGGGTTACTTGAATGGCTCAAATTAAAAAGACCAACCATACCGAATATTGGCAAGCATGTGGAGCAACTGGAACTCTCATACACTGCTGATGGGACTATAAAATGGCACTTTGGAAAAACAGTTTGAGACTTTCTTCAAAAGGTAAAACACATAATTATTAAAAGACCTAGACATTCCACTCCTAGGCATTTTACCCAAGAGAAATGAAAGCAGTAAGTCCACACAAGCTTGTACAAAAATGTCCATAGCAGCTTTCCTTGAAACAGGTAAAACCTGGAAACAACCCAAATGTTCATAAGACATGACCATACAAATTGTATGAACTGTATGTATTGAGAAAATGGAATACTACTCAGTAATAAAGAGGAATAAACTACTGACATATGCATTAATGGATGAATCTCAAAATAATTATGCTGAGTAAAAGAAGCCAGACAAAAGAGTATACACTGCATGATACTTTTGATAAAAAATTTTCACAAATGCAAACTAATGTATAATGACCAAAAGCAGGTCACTGGTTGCGTGGGGACAAGTGTGGAAGGGAAGGATTACCAAGGCGTGTGAGAAAACGTTTCAGGGTGAGGAATATGTTAATTACCTTGGCAGTGGTGAAGGTTTCATGGGTGTAGACGTATGTCAAAAACTCATAAATTATGCAATTTAAATATGAGCAATTTACTGTATGTCAATTAACCACAAAAAGTTGTGACGAGAAAAAAAAAGCTTGACAGGGTTCTCACTGAAATAATTTGCAATCTGCAACAACTTGATTATTAAAGTAAACATGATGGTAATGGATTATGACTCACAGGATAGAGAATCCATAAGTTGATATTGATATAAAAAAATGAGTAAGAAGGGAGTGTTCCACCTTACAGCAGAATGCCAACTAACAAATGTAAAAAGAATGATGGGATCAAAAAATCGCTATGTGGCAACTATCCTAGTGATAAACAATTCAGGTAAGAATCATCAATAGATGCTAAAACTAGTAGGTGAAAGTCTGATGATACACCAGACATTTAGAGTACTTCTCCAGAAGATAATCATTAATTATAAGATGAAAAATAGTGGCTTTCCAGAGTGAGAAGTGCAGTGGATACCACTTGAACCAAGTAACCAAAGACACTATGAGGAGTGAAACAAACAGATATTATGTGCCTCCTGATACACAGCACTGAAGATGCNTTAAGGAAAGAGGAGTGACAAGTAAATGCAATGAATGACCTGAGGTGTAATGGGATCCTAGCTGTGCCAATATTGACTCTTATTTTCACATTAATGGTTTCTTTACTTAACTAATGGTTTCTAAGTCATTAGCTACTGTCACCAATGTGAAATATGTTTCTGACACACCAAACTTGGTAATCAAGCTTATCTTCACTCCTGCTTTATAAATTCTTTTTTGGTATTCAAATGAGGAAATGTGACTGTCAATCAATTCAGCAATTAAGCTCTGCTGCTAAAACGGAGAATAAAAAGAGAGTGTGGATTACAAAATTCTGGTGAATTATCAAGCACAATGTAGGTCACTAGCTACCATGACTAAATACCTTTTCTGCTATCACCTATGATTCTGCAAAACATCTTTTCAAATTAGTAATAGCACTCATGATAGCAATAATTTTACCACTAGAGGTCAAATATTTTCAAAATACTGTTTATACTTTTATGATTTTGTTTCCCAATTTAGAAATGCCCACATGCCTGCTGTGTGTGTGTTTAAGTGGCTCTGTATACTGTGAAGAAGTTGACATTGACGCTGTGCCACCCTTGCCAAAGGAGTCTGCCTATCTTTACGCACGATTCAACAAAATTAAAAAGCTGACTGCCAAAGATTTTGCAGACATACGTAAGTTTAAATAAGAGATTAGCATTAACTCATGTCAGTATTTAACTCGTATAAACACAAATTTCTACATACTTGTGGCCTACCACATCCAGAGCTGTCACTGTTGGAATCTATAAGCATCCTCCTCACTGCACAAGAATCCACTGGTTCCCTGGTAAATCTCCTTCCATTCAGACATCTACTGTCATATTTCCTTACTGGTGACTTCAGTGTGTATGTTGACAGCCCATCTAACATATGGGCAACAACATCTCATCAATCCCAATACTTCAAGATCTATTTCGCCTCAGACAGTGAGCAGCACCAATATAACCGAGATGCTTCTCTAACCACAACATTTTATTTTCTACCTTTACTATAAAAGCACAGAAACAGTTTTTCCTTACTTTAATTCATGATTCTTAAACCAGGCTGCATATTAAATATATCTGGGAAGTACAGTTAAAATACTGATACCAGGCACTACTACTGTCTGTTGTCATTAGCAATAAGGCATAGAGAGAATAAGATACCCACAATTACAATGTAACATGATGGCAAAAAATCCAAAAATATTACACAATTCCCCTCAACCAAATGTAATGCTTACCATGATCTGCAACAAGAATTTCTTTCTTTTTTTTTTTTTTTTTTTCTTTTTTGTCTTTTTCCGTGTCCGGCAACGGATCGCAACCCTCAGTGTTGCCCCCGTACCGGACCGGGGACCGGCAACGGGATCGCAACCCTCGGCGTTGCTCCCGCGCCTCGCTCAGCCAGTGAGCGGGAACCGAAGAATTTCTTTCAAACTCCTTGAGCATCCTGATAAATTCAAACACAGGGATGGAAACACTCTATTAACGTTAAGATCCCTTCCACACCTGAGATTCTAGGACTCCATTTAGAAAGGGCATTAGTGTCAGGGACAGAGAGATGCTCAGTGTTCATTCAATAAAACTTTACTGAGCTACTAATTGCAGACATTCTACTAGGCACTAAAAAATAGAAGATATTTGAGTAATCTATTACACATAAACAAATGCTTTTCTTCAGTCCATGCAATGGTAATTTAATTTTACTTTTTTTTGTATATTTTCCCCCTCAAGCTAACTTAAGAAGACTCGATTTTACAGGAAATTTGATAGAAGAAATAGAAGACGGTACTTTTTCAAAGCTTTCTCTGTTAGAAGAACTTTCACTGGCTGAAAATCAACTACTGAAACTTCCTGTTCTTCCTCCCAAACTCACTTTATTTAATGCAAAATACAACAAAATCAAGAGTAGAGGAATCAAAGCAAACGCATTCAAAGTAAGTATTTTATAGCACGACTAGACATAATATCAGGGATAATAGGATAAAAGATAAACTTTGTTCTAGAATTCTGTTTTGATACATTTTTAAACTATTTTGATTTAATAAATGAAAACATTATTTATATAATAAATAGTGATCCCATTAGACTCATTCTGTCTAGCTTATGGCTGTACCTCACTTAAAATATATAACCTTTATCTTGTTTCATAGGGCTATATCTGTATCCCATTTTTTCACTTGTTTATATAGCAAATAAATTTATTTAGATAGCGGGTTGTCCCTCTCCTCATAGCACTTACAGTCTATAAAAACTCAAAGTGGGGCCGGCCCGGTGGTGCACTGGAGAGTGCGCCGCTTGGGAGCGTGGCGGCGCTCCCCCTGAGGGTTCGGATCCCATGTGGAGACCGGTTCCCACTCACTGGCTGAGCGTGGTGCGGGCGCAGCACCGAGGGTTGCGATCCCGTTGCTGGTCCCCGGTACGGGCGCGACACCGAGGGTTGCGATCCCGTTACCGGTCAGTAAAAAAGACAAAAAGGAAAAAAAAAAACTCAAAGTGGGAGTTTTTCTGTGTTTCCTTTTCCTTACAATATTAGCAACTTACAATTATCAGAAAAAATGAAGTTCCAAAAGTAAACACTGAATTTAACTTTTAATATTTAAAAATATTAAGCTGTAAAATTCTGTAGGCAAACTTTCCTTTGAATTTCATGATGGCACCTAATACAAAAGTCTACATGTAATAAGAATTAAATGCATTTCTTAATTTAGCAATTCAAAAAAATATTATCTAGGAAAAAGGGAAGGTAAGCTACTTTGACTCAGGTAGCCAGGGTGTCTCAAAATGCACGGTCTACAGAACTAATTACCTCAGCCAGGACTTTTCTAGCTCTCATATAATCATTTCCAATCTTAGAAAGTAACCCCAGATAAAAGGAGGAGATGTTACTGTTGGCAATAGACATAATCTCACTCAAAAGACAAGGTTTGTAGCTTCTAAAGATAACTCCTAATAGAAGGACCTAAAACTATCAAATATTCATTATCATAAAGTTTATAATCACACAAGTGTATAATCTGTCCACAAATATACAGTCTGTTAGAAAATGTAAAAATACTCCATTTTTCTTTACTTTTCTTTTTGTTTACATTTAAGAAATCCTTTTTCAACTTTAAGAGACATTTTAAATTTATATCAGAGTTCCTCTAGTGTTCCTTATAAAGGACTCAGAAGTTAAGAAACTCTTAGGAGATTTTTTTAAAAACTAGACACTTATTTTTTTAAAAAATTGTGATTTGAAGATATTAATTTGCAATGGTCATTCTTTCAATAACTGGCATGTTAAAGATCTACAAGAACTGGGGGAAAAAAAGGATCTACAAGAACTGATCAACATTTCACAAAAAGAATCTTTAGATATTTTGGGTTTTATGTATGTATTACAGAAGAAATTCGTAACAAATGGCATGAAAATAATAAACTTGGCTACTTCATAGTTTTGCTTAATGCCCTAGGCTGCAACAGCCACAGGTAAAATCAGTTTACCCATGTAAGTAAGACCCACTGGGAAGACAGTGCGTTGCCTGTATAGTGGAATGGTAGGAAGCTTTAAAAAAGGATTAAAATAACAGCACGAAAAAGAATTACCAAAATCTGGCACAGGATTCATACCAAAGGTAAGGTAAAAGAGTGATGTCAGGGGCATATTACATCCTGAAATCATAGTACACAATTATATACAATAATGGGTTACTAATCATGAAGAATAATCCAACATAAAGCCCTTATGGAAAAAAACATATCAAGCTAAGTGTTTAATAATTGCTTTGTGTACCAGCCAGTTGCAAAAAAGAAAAAAAATTGCTTTGGGAAACATCTTGCAAAACACATACATTTCTTTGGAGTTACCACTTCGCTAGAAACTGGTAGAGCTGAGATAGGAAGCTCCAGAGGTTCAGGAAGGTGAAGGTATGCTGGAGAGCTCTGCTGGTTGTCATAAAAAACCAAATACACTGCTTGTGAAGTCAAAAAAAAAAAACAAAAAACACCCCAAAACAAAAATCTACCATACCAACAACTGATCCTATTGATATTCATTTACATCAATATCCATGTATATATACACTATATGTCTATGTATTACTAGAATTCTTTAAGAAACGCAACAAAAAACACCCCAAAACAAAAATCTACCATACCAACAACTGATCCTATTGATATTCATTTATATCAATATCCATGTATATATACACTATATGTCTATGTATTACTAGAATTCTTTAAGAAACGCACATACCTCAATAACACTCAAAACTTTCCTCACAGAAATTGAATAACCTCTCCTTCCTCTACTTGGACCACAATGCACTGGAATCTGTGCCTCTTAATTTACCAGAAAGTCTACGTGTAATTCACCTTCAGGTATGATTGTTCTTTTCACAGTATCTGTCTTTAATTACCTATAGGTCAATCTTATGACTGACAGGGAAACTCACTAATTCATATGTAAATTTTGGTTAGATCACTATGGCAGTGTGATAGTTAAATGACTATCAAAAGTATTAATACTTAGCCAAATGAACTCTATTGCCCAGAAGCCCAAATTCTGTCCAGAATATAACGAGTGGACTATGACAATAATTGTAAAATCTGCTTGAGTGCGATTTGTCTCCAGGTGTACACTTGGTATCTCCAAATTAATCTAACACAGATTTCAAGTGAGGGACCTTGGATTTACGTTTATTTCTCCAAATAGTGGTAAACATTTTGGTAAAATTCTTCAGAGAATTCTAAGGACACAAAAGCCATTTTTGAGTTTTTACTATAGAATAGGATACTTTTTCCAGCTGGTATAGTCCTATTTATACTCAAAACTTTGTGTTACATGGATATTAAACAGCAAGTACTCCGTTCTTCCAAAATAATACTGCAGACTTAAAATAGGGGACTCAGGTTGCACAGAGAGGTGTACAATATTTAAAAATCACTTTTTAGATCAAATATTCTGTGGGATCCCATTACATAGCATACAGAAGGTTGATTTCAGATTTCTGAACAGTTTTTTCCTCTTATTTTTCAGTTTAACAACATAACTTCGATTACAGATGATACTTTCTGCAAAGCTAATGACACTCATTACATTCGGGATCGCATTGAAGAGATACGCCTGGAGGGCAATCCAATCGTCCTGGGAAAGCACCCAAACAGTTTTATTTGCTTAAAAAGATTACCTATAGGGTCATACTTTTAACCACTATCAATACAGCATACAAGTAAAGTACACACATACTTATAATCTGTCTCAACAATGTCTAAAGGAACATAAATATTGGTTTAGTATTAACTGTACCCTACTATAAAGGGATTCTATGTTTTAAGCAAGGATGTTCGAAAATCTTATTTGTAATAAGTAAAAAGTAAGACTGAATCTTTAAGTTCAAAACAACATAATGTGAAAATATTTAAACAGCATTACAAAAGCCTTCTAATTTACACTAGACTACCATTTAAAAGGCACGTTTTTATATAAATACCCAAATTTGAGATGCATTATTCCTGTTACTAATTACGTAAGAGGATAAGTCCAAGAAGCTTTCAACTGTTCGTCTTTCCTAACCTTTATTGTATTTCAAGCACTTAAGGCAGACATTCCAAAAATTTAAAAAAACAAAATATTTCCAGTGACCTCCCATTTTTCTATGATTCATACATTATGAAGTAGGATTTTTTTCTCCCTGTCAAGGCAGCTACTTTATTATATTTTCACTAAGCCTGAGAAATAGGGTATCATCTCATCTCATACTTAAGTAAAAGTTTCCAAATAAAGTAGAATTTTACTCTGATAAAAAGCTAACATAGAAATGTTCCAAGTTATTCCACTTTGTGGTCACACAGTTAAAATCTTAAAATAGTAAAAAAAAGTTTCTTTTATCCAAATATTAACATTCCAAGTCTATCATAAACATTTTAAAAAGTCAAGCAGGCCAAAACCAGTATACTTACAAGAAAAAAATCAAAAGACTATCATTTCTCTGAGAATAGTCATAAGGTTCTCCACTGTAAAAGCTTTCAAATATGAGATAATGATAAAATATTTTCTTTTTACACTGTAGAAATGAGAATGTCATCCATAAATGTATCCAAACATAAAAAAAAACAAGGTATATTCTGTGGTGTTACTGTGCACCACTTTCCCACCTTACCCATGTGTACCCATGTTCACCCAAACAAACTGAATATTCACAATAAAGCTTCTGAGCACCATTTCCTAAATACCCATGATGAACTGATAGGTTTAATGGTGAGAATCCACTCTCCAGACTAATAGTGATAATTTATGATGATTCAATGCTGCCAGATTAAAGTTCCTAAAATAACTTTGCTCTTACCTATACTCTAATCAAAAATCTTAGTTTACACATTACTTTAAAGTTAAATACAAAACAATCAGTGTTTTAGAAATATAAGTCTGATCTGTATATATAAAAGTACCAGCATTATTTCCGTTATAAATTATACATGGAATCAAGTTGGTCTCAGTGAACACATATTTCTTCCCATTTTTAAGCATTTGCTTGTTTTTTTTCCCCCGACCTAAAATGACCTCATACCTGTTTTTCAATTATCCCCCCATCGGTAAAGGTTGACCTCAAGATGAAATTTTTTCATTCACTTATTTGGGAACTACCAATCATAACTATTATACTGCTTTCTCATTATTTTGTGTGCATGCCTCATTTCTCTGTGAGCACTTTATACTTTCAAAGTGCCCAGCACAATAGTGAGCACATTTGAATTGAATATACAATAAATATTACAAAATAAAATCCATCTAAATAGAAAGGTTCTGTTTTATTTGGAAAAATATAATCTTTAAACTGTCCCAATCTTGAATAAGTCAACAGAAATATACTGTAACTTTACCTGGAAATACTCATATATACCTGCTAAAGGAGGGCTTAGTGATAAGACCGAGGTTAGGGAAAGTGGTCAGAGGAGATGCCTGGCACATTTCTAGTTTTCAGAAGAATAATGTATTCCTATATTCATTTTATAATACACCTTACTAAGAAAAACACCATGAAATAACTCCCAAATTTTAAAATATTTAAAAGCCAGTAGTTCAGAAAAATAAAATAATGATTGAAGAGAAAGAGCATTAGTAAAAAGACTGAATTATAGAATTTTATTAAGGAAATAATTTGGGACTTCTAGATACAAAGATATGAACATGAGTATCTTACACCTTCATACACAAACCCTTCAATCACGAATAAAATAAACAATACAAATTATACTACCAAGATCCAGAAGGTACCAGGGGAAATAATGAGAAAGTAAAAACATACTGATTCCATTTTATTAATTAGATAATGTTTCATTCTTAACATGAATAATTAAAGAAATAGAGGCTTTAAATTAAAAATAATTTACTTCTCACAAACATTGCTAAAAGAAACTAAAGAAGACATAAGTACATGGAAAAGACGTCTTGTGTTCATGGATTGCAAGATTTAATATTCACATTCTTAAGACAACAATATTAACCAAAACAATCTACATATTCAATGCAATCTCTATCAAAGTCCCAATGATGTTTTTTGCAGAAATAGAAAAATCTACCCTAAAATTCATATGGAATCTCAAGAGATCACAAATAAACAAAAGAATCTTGAAAAGAACAAAGACAAAAGACTCACTCTTCATAATTTCAAAACTTAGAACAAATCTACAGTAATCAAAACAGTGTGGCAGTGGCATAAGTACAGACATACAGAATAATGGAATAGACGAGAAAACCCAGAATAAACCTTTGCATATACGGTTACATGATTTTCAACAAGGGTACCAAGACCATTCAAAGGGGAAAGAACAGTATCCTCAATGAATGGTGCTGAGAAAACTGGATATCCACATGCAAAAGAATGAAGTTGTACCCTTACCTTGCACCATACACAAAATTAACTCAAAATGGATAAAAGACCTGAAGGGCTAAACTATAAAATTTTTAGAAGAGAACACAGAGGCAAATGTTTATGACATCAAATTTGGCAATGATTTCTTGGATATAACATCAAAAACAGAGGCAACAAAAGAAAAAAATAAAGAGGACTTCGTCAAAAGTAAAAACCTTCGTGCATCAAAGTATACTCAAGAGAGTGAAAAGACAACCCAGAGAACATACTTGCAAATTACATTTATGATAAGGAATTGATATCCAAAATATAAAGAATTCATGCAATTTGACAGCAAAAAACAACCCAATTCAAAAAAGGACAAAGGGGGCCGGCCCGGTGGTGCACTCAGTAGAGTGCGGCGCTTGGCAGCACGGTGGCGCTCCCGCGGAGGGTTCTATAGAGACCAGTCCGCTCACTGGTTGAGCGCGGTGTGGGCGCGACACCAAGGGTTGTGATCCCGTTGCCGGTCACGAAAAAAGACAAAAAGGGAAAAAAAAAAAAAAAGACAAAGGACTTGCATAGACATTTCTCCAAAGATACACAAATAGCAAATAAGCACATGAAAAGGTTCTCAACATCACTGATCATAAGGAAAATGCAAATCAAAACCACAATGAGATGCAGTTTCACACCCATTAGATTGGCTATTATCAAAAAAACAGAAAATAACAAGTGTTGGAGAGGTTTTGGATAAACTTGGAATCCTTGTACTTTGTTGGTGGGAACACAAAATGGTGCAGCTGCTCTGGTAAACAGTATGTGCTTCCTCAAAAAATTAAACATAGAATTGCCACATGATCCAGCAATTCCACTTCCAGGTATACACTTCAAAGAACTGAAAGCAAGGAAATGAACAAATATTTGTACACCCAAGTTCACAGCATCATTATCCACAATAGCCAAAAGACGGAAACAACCCTAGTGTCTATCAACATATGAATAAATAAACAAAATGTGGTATATACATACAAGGAAATATCATTCAGTCTTAGAAAGGAAATTGAACACATGTTACAACATGTATGAACCTCAAAGATATTACACTAAGTGAAATAAGTCAGACAAAAAGGACAATCCACTTACATGAGGTACCTAGCACAGTCAAATTCATAGAAAATTGAATGATGGTTTATCTGGGGCTGAGGGAGGAGGGAATGGGGAGTTAGTGTTGAATAGGTATGTTTTAGTTTGGGATGATGAAAAAGTTCTGGAGAAGGAAAAGTAGTGATGGTTGCACAATACTGTGACTTTTTTTTTTTTTACATCCCAGTAGTGTTATCACCAGCAAAGACCAGCTCGTAGAAGCACTCTATCCTCCACTGAAAAAATACACCAATTATACTTCCACTCTTGCCTAGAAAGCACTTAAGAGTCAAATTAGCTTTGAAAATGGTGACTTGAGCTCACCCATTCCAATCACACATTCAAATGCATAAGGAAACAATAATATTAAGTGACTCATTCATTACCGTAACTGCCAACATACTCCCCAATCATTACTGTATTTTACCAATTGTAAAGCAGAGATATTTAATTGTTCCATCTCAAGACTCCCTGCAAGAAAATATAATAAAATCATGACAATCCCTCATGGGACTGGTACAAGAAGTGTCCATGTTTCATTCTGGAGAAAATTCTATGTCTGACAGATTTTATTAGCTCAACCAAATAGAATAAATATAATAATAATAAAGAATAGAACACAAAATAAAGGAGAGTTAGTACCAGCCCTAAAAAGAATAGTCATGACCTGGTCAGGAGTTTGAGGGAACCTGAACCTTGAAATATTATTTATGTTGACTCTTTCAAACTGGTTTCTCTGTGGATCACTGCTGTCAACAACTTGATTCTATTCACCTGAGGGAGTACAAGGCAGCCAAACATAATTCTAGTTATGCCCCAAAACAAAGGAAATAAAAAGAAGTAAGTACCCATATGAGACTTAAGAAGCATTACTTCACAAGAATCAGGCTTCAATACTTAAACACAAAATGTACAATAATTAGGAAGCTCAAAATGCAGTCTGGCCCAGTAAATTAAGATTATACTGCTACATGATAAACCTGCTATGATTATCTGTATTAGCATTTATTATTTTACTTCAAGTACCACTGAAAGGTTGACTTTTCAAAATGTGCATTTTAAAATAAATTAGAATATAACTACACTTCTTTCAAGATATTCCATAATACAAATTATCCACTGATTTGTACAGAAGCACTCCTCCTCCACTTATTCCAAATAATTGCAAATTCCAGAAGTCAATGAAAATACTTGCTGTTGTTTTAAAATCTTAAGGAAAGAGGGTTATAGTTGAATCCCCAAATTAACATCAGCTTCGTTTTCCATATATGTTTAAATTAAAAAATTTTAGGCTTTACCTTGAAATGTTTAAACGTGCGTTTACGATATTCATACCACTCCACAAAAAAATGCAGGCTTTGGAAAAACATGAACAGATCTCTTCTTTCTTCTGCTCTGTAAAAATAAAAGGTTCTATCATTAATAAATATCATTAAGTAATAGATCCAACCCAGCTTTATTTTTTCATTTTCATATAGTCTATATTAAAACTAAAAAAGCATTTAATATATTTGGTATACCAAATCCTGCATTTCTGCATGTGTCCCTCCCATGTGATTGCTAAGTTACTTTCTCAGCCTGGAATGCTCTTTTCTCCATTTTAAAATCCTACCCATCTTTCAATCACTCAAATGTCACATTCTCCTTAAAATCTTATTTGATGACTGTGGTAAAATAAAAAATAAGAATATATAGATATATGCCTAGAGCTTTAAAATGATTGAAACTTCCTGAATGATAGGGTGTCTGTGTTATGCTAATAAGGTGACTCATGATAGCCCCTAGATACCTACAGGCTGGGGACTGGTTACCAGAAAAACCAACCACTTCATTAGAGGGTTGGGACTTTTTAGCAAGACCTCCAGGAGGAGAGGGGTGCTAGAGATTGAGTTTAATCACATGGCCAATAATTCAATCAATCATATCTATGAAATGAAACCTCAATAAAAACTGGACAGCAGAGCTCAGTGGAGTTTCCAGATGAACACCTTGATGTGCTGACAGGGTGATGCACCTGATTCCACAAGAAAGCTCTGTGTCCCCCCTTCCTTCCACTCCCCCCAGACCTTGGCCTATGCATTGCTTCCATTTGGCTGTTTCTGGGTTGTGTGATGCACCTGATTCCACAAGAAAGCTCTGTGTCCCCCCTCCCTTCCACTCCCCCCAGACCTTGGCCTATGCATTGCTTCCATTTGGCTGTTTCTGGGTTGTGTACTTTACAATAGAACAGTAATTGTAAGTACAGCAATTCCAGTAAGTTCTGTGAGTGGTTCTAGCAAATTATTGAACCTGAGGGGTTTGTGGGAACTCCCAAATTTAGAGCGACTTGGTCATAAGTGCAGATGGACCCTGACACTTGCAGTTGGCATCTTACATGAAAGCAGTCTTGTGGGAGACTTTGTCCATAATCAGTGAGGTCTGTTAGTGTCAAAATTGAACTAAACTGCAGGACACCAAGTTGCTATCAGAGAACCATTACCAGAATAATGACCTCACTACCACTTCACATAACCTACTTCCTAACAGATAGAAATAATTTCATTCATTTGCCTATGAATTCTCACAGGAATTTATCTTAATTCTCTTAACATTATACCTATTGTAACACTGTCAGCCACATACACTGCAAGCAACTTGAGGGCATGATCCACGTATTCACTTAATTATTCATTCAACAAAAGATTGTGTGAGTCGAGTTCCTATTATAGGCATGATATAGTAAGTATATTCCACCCGAAGACTCCCATTAACTACAATTTAAAACCATGGACATAATGCATAAAGCAAGCATCAGAAGACTCT